GAGTGCTGAAAGCTATGATATGTTTATCATAAAAGCTGAGTTGTGAACAAAAATGGTGCCCCGGTAGCGTAACTGGTAGCGCACTTGCCCGGTAAGCGAGAGGTGCGGGTTCTAGTCCCGCCTGGGGCGAAAGTTTTGTTCACAACCCAGCATTCTTGTGAAACATTCGCAAGGCGAACTGCGGCAAAAACAGCAGTTAACAAACAAAACAAGTCAAAACTAGATTTATAATTTGAAATCATTTGATTCACTTTCAAACCTTTTCAAGCTCTAGACAGGGATGCTGGAGAAACGAAAAGTTCACGGACTACCCACAAATACGGAAAGGATTGAAATCCGTTTGATTTACGATCCACGGTAGTCGGTCAGTCCACGTCAAAGATAAAGGTGTGCTCTGCTCTCTTCTGCGTAGCTGAACTTGATCTATTTCTCAAAAAAGGCAGGATCGACTTTTTTTGTGGAGAACTAGGTTTTAGGGAGAAACTGCTAGCAATTAGCAAAAAGATTCACAGATGCTCTACCATTGTCACCGAACTTCGTTTTACTCTGAAGCGATGGCGCGGAAGAGGCATTGAGGTGAGGTCACCTTTCTTCAAAAATCAGGTTACATGACCCAGTTGCTCACTTTACACCACGGTGACCTGAATAGTTCTATTCAAGAAAATGGCGCTTGGTATCAGCCTTATTTCAAAGTGCCTCTTGGACAAGCGGATCTGCACCACTACTGTCAGTACGGGCAACGGCTGAGTGTAGTGCAACCGCCGGTGGTGGGAAGTTATAGTCCTGGAGACCATGAAACTATGTTTTCGTAGCAAAAAAACCGTGATCTTCAAAAACCAAGGTAAGTAATAAACATACATGTAAAAAAACAGTGGTTCGACCGCCCCGGGCCAGGAAAACTAAACTGGCAAGTGACTTCGTTAGAACCCATTCAGAAATCAATTGACCCTATAGTACAATGCTCAGGAAATACTGAGCAGCACAATAATCTGAACGACGCCGACATCATCACCACATGTTTGCAGTTGCTCTACCGTGTACACAATGGCCTACAGATGCAAAAAAGGCCAAAAATCTTCTGTTTATGCCTTTAATCCTTTTCGATGATAAATCAAAGCCTGAATGTCAAGAGATGTCAACTCGCTTCTCAATATGTAGTATTAAATATATTGGGCCGCACTTTAGATCAGAACCAGGGTTTGATGATTGCGGTGTGTGGCTCAGCATAAGTGGCATGGTTGGACTTCATTCCGAAGAGTACATGTCTGAATACGTTGGCAAAATTGCAAAATTTGGTAAAATAAATAGCTC